CTGCTGTGATGGCACGTCTGGTGTGGCAGCTGAAGGCTGGCTGTAGGGAAAATCTCTCTGCTGAGTTCACAGGCTGCAATTGTGGAGAAAATGGCTTCCCTGGGTTACCAGAAATCTTAAAAAGTGTTCCTTTCTCTCTGAAACTTAATACAAAGCTTACTTCATCCTGAAAGACAGCTTACGTCCATCCTTGCATATATAGGTCCCTTCCTAATGTCACAAGTGACTGAAATTCTGATTCTCAAATGACTGTTATTTTCCATATAAAGTAGCATAGAAGGAAAGAAAACAAAGCTTAATAGTTTTGCCTCTTCTTTTTTTTTAGACTATAGTATAATAGCTGTAAGTTACATAGTGTAAGTTAGGAGGAATGGTTAAGGAAAGCTAGCCGGGATGATACGTGGAGAGGCCTACTTTATTCAGCTAAGAATTATTAATATTTAGAGACTGGAAATTTGCTTTTATTCATAACGGAACTTTTAAACATTTCTCCATTATTATAAATGTTGAAGTGAAATTAATGACAAATTAATTGAAAAGGATAAGCACTGGGAATGTTCACATGTGAAAACTGAAAGATAGGTACCATAACCATCTCTGGAGGTCCCTTCAACCCCTACAATTCTGTGATAACCAAAGCAGGTTTTTGGTGACACCAAGCTCTTGCATCCTTGATAGAGTGATTTAGGTGCTTTATCTTCTCGGAGGTGAACATGTCTGTAAGGAACATAGCTAGAAGCATCTGCATGGGGGTTCGTATTTGTGCTGCTTTACATCTGTATCGTGTTACACAAGCTGTGTCGTTTTGAACTGTTTTTGCACTGCAGTATCTTTTAGCAGTAAGTAAGCATTAAATTCTATGGAAGTCTTACCCAGCAATGGTATTTCAGGGTGGTCAGAAAGTTTAACATCCAGCTCCAGGTTGCCTTGGCTTTGCACATCGGATTTGTGTTTCTTTTTAGTATTTATCAAACTCAAGTTCTTTTTCTGCAGATAATGTTCTCATTTCTGCACTGGTCATGTTTTCCTCATCCTGTCAGCTTGTTTCCATTTTCTTTTCTCTGGCATTATCACTTGTTTGTTCCTTTTTCTTTTAACAGGAGAGGTGCAGATTACCCAGAGCTGTACCTGGCTCTTTTGTATTTGTTGTTGCCTGGTTTGTTCCTTGTGCAACCAGAACATGACCAGGCTTCTGGCCTCTTGCCTAGCTGTTTCTGTTGGAAAATTGAAATCTTTGCAAAAAGTTACCACATTTAATTCCTATCCTGAGGAGGAAACATGGGAAAGTTACCTAGGACTACCAACAGCAATGTTAGTGCTGTGCCTGTATTCCCTTCCCCTTTTTTGACTGGGTTTCGATCTCAAAGAGTTGCTACCAAGCCTTTACCTTTCACATTTCTTTTAATGATTAATATAATTATTTCTATGGGCATAAAAATGCAGGGAAGGCTAGTACTCGTGGTTATCGATAGAGGCATTATCCCAAGAACTGTTTTGTAAAGGAATGCTGTAATTATTTTAAATGTGAATGGCATTTTGAATTTGTCAATTGCAAGCAATAGGAAAATGCCATTACTTTTAACTACTCTCTCACTTAAATGTGCTGTTTAATAGATCGAATCTAGTCTACCTGTCCCCCCAAATCAATGTCTGTCGTTTCATATAGCAGCCAGTCCAGTCCAAGGCAGTAATCGCACGAGGTTGCTGTGGATGATGTCTTGCAATGCAGATACATGTTCTGCACTTCAGCTGGGTTCAGCTGGTCTGGAAGTTAATCTGCAACATGATAAACTTTTTCTCTTCAACTGCAAAATGTTTTTATAACCTTATTTATATCTTTCTTGACGCCACATCTAGATGCAGAGGTGCTGTGGCTTGGTGCTGTTGATACAGAGCAACAAAAGCACGCAACATTTTATCAGCTCTTACAGCATTTCTCCATTGTCTAATCCAAACACTGTCCTTGGCTTTCTGCTTGTTTTTTCCTGTTTTGAAAACTTCTAAGCCTTTACAAACGCTTTAATCGCTAATTATAGGAGCGTATAACGCTCCAAATAACATATAAGTGATACTAGGATTCAGTCCCACATCTCTGTTTGTTATGGAGTTCATTCTTCTTATACATGATTGCTTTTGGTGTAATGAGTTACAGGCAGAAATTTTCACTGTAGCTGCATTTGGGTCCCAGACTTTTCACCTAGAACACAGTAGCTCAAAACCAGACTTCTGGTTCTGACCATCAGCTTTTAAAAACTTTAAATACTACTAATAAGCAGTAACCTATGGTAACTTCTAATTATTTGAAGCTCACCAATAGCAGTCTGCCTTTTCGTGATATAACATGTTTGTAGATGGTAATACCATTAACAGCAATTTCTGCTTAAAGTACCTGTATTCTCCTGCTTGAAGGTGAACACACTTTATGTAAAAGCATTTAGTTTTTGAAAAGAAGTTGAGTGGATTGTTCTTTTTCTGGTAGCTGAAGAGATTTCACTTGATTCTGAGTCCTAATGTTTCTGGGAGGCTTTAGATAGAAGAGGTGCTCTTAGCAACTCCAATTCCTCATGTAAGGTATGCTTAGACCAGATGGACAGCTGTTCAACAGTTTCTTACAACTTTTTGAGTTGCCTGACAAGTACCAAAATAAAGTCTTAAAGAAATGGAAGCATTCTTTTAAGTTTATTGTCTGGTTTCAAATGCTTGTGGAGTGCCTGTACCATAGTGGCAGAACACCTTGCTCTTTTAACGTACACATGCTGATGCCAACATGGTGATTTTGGGAAGTACCTCTACTCCCATTTGTAGGCAAGGAATGCAGGCACAAAGGGATGTGGGATTTATGCATGATCACAGAGGAAGTCTGCACAAGTTATGTCCTCTCTGGCTTAGGGTAGCATTTCAGCCACTAGATCCTGCTACAATTAATCTAATGCTCAGAGCTTTTTAAAATGCCACCATAATATAGCATATTCTGAAATAAGTCCAAGTTGATTGGCAAGTATCACTCAACTGATGAGTTAACCAGGTCTAGATTTTTTTTTCAGATTCCAGCTGAAGCAATTATTTCAGTTTTTGTCCAGTATTCTTAATTATATGCATTTCAGAGCATCTAAATGGGATACTATTTCTAAGCATTCTAACTAGAAAACCAGAGAGGAACCACCTGCATTTTGAATGTAAGGATTGTTTCTGTCAAAGAAGAATATGATCCCATTGACAGATTAAGTAGTTGCAGTGATCAGGTTTGTAAGGGTTTTTGCTAATATTGTTAGCTACGGTGGTTGAGGTAAAGTCATTAAAAGAGAGGAGATCCTCATGTTCAGAACAGAACCTGTGACCTCCACAGTCAGGCAGACATCATTGTTAAAGAATAAAATTCATTTGGAATTTTCAAAATTTTCAAAATATCACACCAAATATTGTTTCTTCAAGAGAGAAAAAAAAAAAGTAATCACAAATTTCCTTTGTATATGCAGAAGGCAAGCTGTGGGGTAACTGGATTGCAGTGGTGCTTTGTTTCTGCAGCAATATGAGAACAGGCTTCCCCTTCTCTGCAGTTCTCAGTGCAGTGGAAGAGCTGGAGGAGCGGGTTAAGGGAATGATGCAGCCTTCTGCCCTATCTATGTTGCAGGAAGAAACTGTCATTACGTATCTTTGCTTTGAATTGAAAGTAGCCAGAGCAAAGTGGTAGCAAAGATTTTTACTCTTTATATGAGTCTAACCAGGATAGTGACAAGTTCCTGTAGTCTCTTCTGCCTTGGTAAGAGCAGTGGCATTTATCTGACAAGTGATGATTCCTGCAACGCTACCCTATAATAGAAAATAACTCAGCTGGGTACAGATTGAATGACAGTCCAACAAAATGCTGTTGCAAGTACAGCCTCATTATGAAGTATTTAAGTGCCTTATGATAACTCAGAAAATGACTACTTTGCAGGTAATCAGCAAAAGCAAGTGCCAGTGGTTTCAGTGTTCGTACCCAGCAGAAAAACTCAAGCCGGTTTGGCATGATTCACATTCTTGCCAGACCTATAAAGTCTGACCTTTGATGTGGTGGGGAGACCTAGTGATAGGAACAAAGTAGATTTGCCTTTTTCCCCTGTCCCAGGGGAGGGCAGCTTTCCAGCCTGAACAACCTCATCAGGCATATCCTGATGTGCAGCCCGAGGAGAGAAACCCAGCAGGCTGCCCGTGGTTAGACAGTGCCAACACACATGCCAGCTCGTACTTGGTGGCAGGCTGTTCAGCTTGGAGAGTTTGAGTTCAGTAGTCATCCGGAATGACGTGTCAGAGCCATTGACAAGATGAAAAACTCTACAAGTTTATCTTGAGTGTTATGGCTTAGTGCACTACAAAAGGAGATTTCTTTTTTATTTATTATGAGTGTTCTTCGATGCTGAATTAAAAGAACAACAACAAAAAAAAAGCCAGGGACAAAGTCTGGAGAACAGAACAGAGGCAAACATTCAAGGTACTATGTGTTTTGATGCAGTCAATTTTCCTCCCTTGTCATTGCTGCTTCCCTTTTTGACAGCCACTTTCTATTTTTCTGATTTTTCTTACTGTTTCCACCTCTCTTCTTCTCCCTATTCCCTATCCCCTACCTCCCCCTGACAAGGGACCAAAAGTAAAATGTGTGAAACTAAATTGATGTTGAACTGCTTTTACCTAGCAGAAGAAGGATTGAAAAGACTGATGTTCTTTTAACCCTTAATAAATTTGGTTGCAATATTTGCTCTTTGCGATGAGATGATGGTTCCTATTGAGAAAATCAAGCTGTAAGGCTGAATACTAGAGTGCAATGCATTCAGTTAAGATTTTGGTTATTACCGTAGAAAACAGATCTCTTTCCAGATATTCAGGCATGCCAGATTAGTTCACCATTGAGACATTAACCAGCTAATAGCTCCATTAGTAATAATTGCCTATGCACTGTCTTTATTACCTAATATTTTTTACAATGGAAAAAGGCACACTAACCTTTTATTCCTTTCTTAAAGGCACAAGACCTGAATGTGATCGAGGAAGTGATCCGAATGATGTTAGAGATTATCAACTCCTGCCTGACCAATTCCCTTCATCACAACCCAAACTTGGTGTACGCACTGCTTTACAAGAGGGATCTGTTTGAGCAATTTCGAACTCACCCTTCCTTCCAGGACATAATGCAAAATATAGATCTGGTAAGTGATCTATTATTTAAAGGATGCTTACACTTTGTTATTTGATCTCTTTATCCTTTTTGAGAGGTGGAAAATATTCATCTCTATCAATTTCTTTTAGAATGTGTTTAAATGTTGAGTTTCCCTCTCCTATTCTCTGGGCCTCCAATGTGACTTATTTTGGGCAACATCTTTTATTCAGCAGAGCCAGAGGGATTTGGAGATGCCTCTGGTAAGGAATTCCCAACCTGTGACACATCTTTCACTTCCTTTAAGGAAGAACAGTGTCAACTTCTCTTAACTGCCCCTTGTTATAAGCCTGTCTTTCAGAGGAAAAAAAAGATGGATTTCATTATCAAGAAATCATCTTTGTTTCTGTTACTCCTATCACAATTTTAATTAATGATCATGGGGGACTTTGTTAAATAGCTATGAGCAGGCACTCAATTGCCTCATTGCCTGGCCTGTATCTGAACGTATGTTGCTTTCACCTACAAAGTGTCTCTCCACACCACTCAGCAATCCTGTTGGGAAAGTAAATGCTTTAGAAGAAAACAAAAGGAAATAACTTGGAGCAGAATTTGTTACCAGTGTGGTTCTCCATGGGCTGCATATTGGCATCTGACTTTGGATAACAGTTAGCTGTTAGCTGATTTCTGCTACATTTCATAGTGGCATTAACGCTAATATTGAGGACCTGAGTAATGATTCCTGCTAGAAAATAACAGCTGTAAAGTGCAAGAAGCCCCTGTATGTCCTCTAGGCAGTATTTACAGAGCTGAGCAATGCTTGAAGTCATGCTGTGACCTCTGGATGCAAAATGCTGGAAGTGGAGGCCGAATAGGCTGCTAAATTTCTTGCTGCAGTGAATAGGGCATTTATTCAGTATGAGTAAAAATCTGCAGAGGTTATTTTTTGATTCGCCTTTACTTCAAAATACTACAGAAGATTGACAGATTTTTGATGATCCATAAAGGAAAGTAATTTTTACTCTTGACAAAAATGTAGAAGTGAAATCCTGTCCTGTACCTAAGCCTTCCTCTTCTGTTCTCACTTCATATTTTCTGGTCATGCAAGAGTTTGGAGAGCAGAGGTTTCAGAGCTGAAAGCTCTCCAAACTTTTGGCAGCTGCAGAGTACAGACAGCATGATACTGCCTGGATGATTAGGACAAGTCATCTCCAGGTTGTTTAAAGCAGAACTGGGTACAGTCAAGATAACTGTTCTTCGTTCCTGAATGAGATAGGGGCCTTCTCTGTCTGCATGTCCAGAACCAGGAAAACTAGTGGTTGGCAGGTCCTTGTGCCTGATAGCTCCTCGCCTTCCACAGAAAGCAGCATGTCCTTTCCCTTGTAACAGTTAAACGTAGGTTTTCCTCGACGATTTAAACAGTTCCTCCCCAAAAGCATTTAATACTGGGTTACAGCATAATGCCAGTTATATTCTGAAACTATTTAAAGCTTTCCAGGGGAGCATGTTGAATTTTTAAATAGCTCCTTTGTTAGAGAAGCGAGGATGTCAAAAAAAGATTTTTTTAAAAATGTACCTGTCACCAGCTGGCAAGTGGTGAGAGCTGTCAGGCTTGCAGATGTGAATAAAATATTAGATTCAGCTGACTCCTCTTCCAGCCTGCCACATCCTCCAGTTCATACATGTTATCAGCAGTGCTACCATCCTGTATAGAACAAGCCTTTGTCTTGTGTGCTAAAGCCAACAATTTTGTACTGGTCTTTCTACCACTTGAAAGACTGGCAAAGCATGTTAGCCTTGCTGTACACGTGGGCAGTATTTGAGAAGAACCAAAATGAGATGCTGGCTCCCAAACTTTGCTCCAGCATTTCTCTGCAGTGATGGAGGTGAGAGCTCTGTTGTCATGGCCACACAGGATGGTGAGATCACATGAAATCGAAGTGTGCTCCTGGCTCAAGAAATTCCTAAAATATGTTGTTGGAAGCTAGGAGGCTGTGTTCATGGGAGGATATGGGAGGATCTCCCTCTTCTTGACCTGCTCATATTCTTTTTTTTTATTTTTTTTAACATCCATCCCAGCCAACTCTTAGAGACAACATGCTGAGCTAGCCAGGTTTCTTGTGTGGCCTGGGATGGTTATTCAGAGAGTGAATCCACCAGCTTCCTATACACCAAGGAATTCCTACTGGGTTTGATGCTGCCGTGCTCAATGTATAGCAATGAAGTTGCCACCCTGTATGTGTGGCCCGAAGTGTGTAGATGGTAGGTGTAAGTGCCAAGAGCTGCTGCTTTTAGTCACAGGATGGGGAGAGAAGTTACCTTTCCCAACCCCTAGAGCCTGTCTTCAGGGTCTGTGCTGTGTACTGGTTCCATCCATGGGTTCTTTTACACAGGGAAGTACACCTGGATTATGTCCACCCACCGTACTGTGCAAGCGTTATTTCCATCACCAGATGCCACTAGGCGTCCATGTAAGCAGGTGTATGTTCTGCTCTGTGTCACTGTGATGTCCCCCAGTGCTTCAGCAAAATCCTTCTTACATAGATAGGGTGTAAGATTTTATTGTCCTAAACTGTACTGCAGATTTGTATTTGGAACAGAAATACTACTAGACAGCATGGTAGTGCTCTGTGTTGAAGAAAGCTGGCCAAAATACTGCATATGAACAATCTGTAATGATTTTGGGGCAGTGAAACAGTTGCTAGGTTGCCATGTCACGAATGTATAAAATAAGAATGACATATCTTGACTTCAATAATTACTGTTTTTAAACCAAAATAGGAAGCACAGGAGAGGTAAAAATGCTAAAAAAAAAAAAATCTAAAAAACAAACAAAGAAACAAAAAACATAATGAGTTGGAAAACGTACTGAGAAAATAGTAACTTGTAGTTTACTGTTTAGATGGAAAAAGTTTACTGTGCATCTGCTGCAGTCCTGTGTGGGTATGCAAAGGGGTTATAGCCCAGAAGCCCAGAAGTGTCCTCTCAGCCTGCTTGTGCTAGCGATGTGCTAGCTGGATCACTTTGGGTTTAGGCACCATGGAAGAAATTCTAGGGAGAAACAAGAGCTGTAGAAAACAGGACTTCTAAGGACAAGTAGAACAGGTGCTGATTAGCCCAAAAGACGACTAGACCTGATATTTTTCAAATACAACACAGCTGTGAAGAGAAAGTGCATAACCTGTTCTATGTACCTGTGGCATGTAGGGCAAGTGACTCGTGTAAATTGTGGCAGAGGAGATTCACAGGTAGGCGTAAGGAAAGACTTTCTGATGTTTATAATAATGAAGCACTGTGGTAGATTTCCAGGGACTTAACACTGGAGAGCTCCAGCTTGACCAGCATTTGACTGGTAACACTGGGGCAGGAGACAGAGCAGAAGTGTCTGTAGGCACATGTGCATCCGAGTACGGCTTTGCAGCTCAACCAGCTGCTCGGAGCAGGGTGGCAATTGCCCAGATTAACTCCGTGCAGACTTTGGCACAGTCACTCAGGACTTTGCCTCAGGGTTTGGACTATTCAGTTTACTCTGCAAAGGTAATGCTGGAGATAACAAGTAACCTCTGTGAGCTTCACAGCTGAGGCAAAAACAGATGAATGTTTAAGGGGTCATCAGCGTATAGAACATTATTTTATTGAAAACTGTATTATACTGTCTACCTCTGGGTTTTTATAAATAAGCTAAAAATCACCATTGCCAGCTGATTGGGAACATATGGGAACAGTTAATGCTGTACAGAAGAAACTGAAATCAAAATACCTTCTGTTTCCCATTAATTTACTTTTCATTTTAGAAAGTCATCTTAATGGGATATTGTGCATCTTGTTTAGCTAAATGGGATATTCTTCCTCTGGATGGTGGACAAAGAGGAATGCCACGGTTCCTGTTCTGGCCTACTGCAGAAGTGTTTCAGCTGTGAGCTCTCTCCGTGCCTCTGTTTTCAAGGTGGTCTATAATTTGGTCAGCAGGTTCACATGTGCCAGGAATTTGGTGAAGACTCTTCACTAGTAATTTCTAAAGATGAGTTTGGTTCATGACCATCATAAGATCTCATTGGCTTTTGTTACTTTCATTCTTCCTAAGTCTTCTGTGAGCTACTGATAGATATCGTGCGGTTGAACAGGCTTATCTAGGAGCTGCTAGAATTTTGTTTGCAAAATAGCCTGATAGAAATCAGGAGGTCGGGAGCAATGGCTTAGTGATGCAAAGGATCAGATTGATGCAATTTCCTACTAGGAATTTAATTCTCCAAAGACATTTCCCTGCTAGATTTTAAAATTAGTTGAGCTGGCTTGGCTCTGGCATAGCAACTTCTATTTCAAGACCTGCAGGACTTGCCGTGAGCATGAGAACTAATTTTTCATGGTTTTCCTTAAAAAGCCTGCAGAAAAACCTTGATCCTGCTAATTGTTAGAGACTGGCTAAAAACTTTCAGTGTTTTTTTTCCCTTCTCCCCACTCCTACCCATTCTCTTTGCCAGGAGTGAGGAATTGGAAGCAGAGCACCTTGAAAAGGTCACATCTTTGAATGTACTCCTAGTTTCAAGGTGAAGCTGAAAACCTTTTCAGTACTTCAGGTACCTTCAGTACTTGAAGTCTGCTGATAAACCTTTTGCGTTTCTCCTGCTATTGAACTACCTGGAGCAGTTGCTTCCCTTCTTAACAGGGTGGCTCCAGGGAGGGTTGTTTTGCTTTTTTCCCTCCAGGACAGAGGATGACTGTAGGCTATTGAATGTAGCTGTGATTTATGTTTTCCTTAGGAAGCTACTTAGATGAAGTGCTAATCCTGTGCTACCTTGTAACAAGAGGTTTGTTTTCCCCTTTTCTTCTCCTTTTGGTGCCACAGTGTTACTCTATCAGTGGTGAACAAGGCTGGAAATGTTAAATAGCAAATGTCAAAATGTGTCTTTCTCTTCCCATCACTTCACACAGAAAACGAAAGAAAGGAAATGAAAAAGGAATCCAAACTTTTTAATTTGCTGTTAAGTTGTTTTTCTCTTTTGCAGAGCTAACCTTGAAAATTGTGAGCAGAGGAGGCAACAGTGAATTGCACTGTTATTTTTAGCTGCAGGAGAAAGTGAAGAGTTGTAGTGTTGGTTAGGCAGCACTACTGCATGCGAATGGATTTGGGGCCTCGCAGCACTTCAGTTTACACTGAAAGAATCCAAGTGGAGAAAACATCTTGTCCTTGATAGCTGTGCTACCTGGTCTGTGCTATAGTAAATATAAATACATATTTCTTCACCTCAGACTGTCAGTCATATTGAAAACAATAGATGGACAAAGTAATAGACTCTGTGGTTATTTCCTCATAACCTAAAAAGAAATCTCCAAAACCTAAAATGTCTCTTTTAAATCTAAATCATTTTAACTTTTTTTGTAGTACTTTTAGTTTCTGGAAATATGTTGTAAATTTCTTGTTTAGAAAACAAAAGGACTAAAGATGAGTCTCAGGAAAAAATGACCTCTTAAATAGAAACGTTTATGAAAAACAATTTTGGAAATCACTATAGAAAATGGTTTTTGTTTAGAGGTCTTGAGTATATTATGCCACCAGAACTTGTGCTGCAGTCTATTCTGCTCAAGAAATCCCCGAGCTGATGGCAACCAAGCCATGCAGCTGCATGCACATTGCACAACCAGAATTAGGTGCTCTGGAGAGGGCAAAGCACTGCACCCTTCAGATACACAGTTTTATCTGGACACTGATAATATATTCCTGATGAGGGGTTGTTTAATCCAGGATTAAACATGCCTTTTAATCTCTGTTAATATGGAAGCCAGATTGGAGAGAGCTTTTTGAAATGGGTTGTGTTCCTTGCATGGAGAGGGCCTTTCAGCACACGTCATGACTTGGATCTAGGTAATTCACAGGGTCTAGTTAAGCTTTGCGTTGCAGGGTTTGCAGTTATTTTCAACTTTCATAGACCAGTTACCCAAGTGATCAGTGAGAGAATAACTTTCAGAATATCAAAAATAGGTACGACAAGAAAAAAAAATGCCCATCTGTCTAGTTTTCATCTGTGCTGAGATCTGCTTTTTTCTATACTTTAGAATAATGTGCTCAGCATTAGCTTTTAAAGCATGTGCTAAAACTTGAAACTCATTTAATACTATCCAGACATTTCGCTTTTTCTAGTTTGTTTTCTTTTAAGTGGACACAGAATTGAAATCTGTTCATTTTCAAGATTATTTTAAATGCAGCTCTGTTACTGATGTGGGGAAAATAATTAAAGCTCCTTCAAAGGAAAAGGCTACTTTTCCTTGACATTATGTTAAGCTTTCATTTTCATCTTTTGTATTTGGGCAGATAAGTAGGTAAAGTGTTTGACCTTCAGGTACAGAGATGGGAACTCGGGAAGTAGGGAGGTCATGCTGGATGCTTTTTGATTTTATTGCTAATATAATGTTAATAAGCAAATGCCTCTTCTTGTATGTCCTCTATATAATTCATCTCTTTTTGTTTTTTGTTTTTTTTTTTCTTGTAACCAGTATCTCATAGGAGTACTCTACTATCATGGTTACAAAAAGAATTACTCCAGTTCCATTTTGTCTGAAGTAGAAAGACAAATAACACTTAGAGACACGTATTATTATTTAAGTGGATATTTTTAATTTTAGTCTTCAACTACATACCAAAAATAGCAATTCAAAATTCCTTGAAACGCTGACATGCCCTGTAAATATTGGAAGCCTATCTCACTTTTGTTCTTTGTGGAATATAACTCAACCAAGATTAGTACCTTTATCACACAAATATAAAAAACTTTTAAAAACATGTTCAGATTGGAGCGTTTGTTTTTCCAAAATAGGAAATGCCAAGATTCACATAGTATCTGCAAGCTTCATTTGTTTATGTGTATGCTTTATGATAGAATTTTATCCTTCTGATTAAAAGCCCAATATTAAGCTTTGCTTTTGTTGTGGTTTAGAAGAGCTTGAGCTAGCAAGGAACACTAGTGAGATGTATTCTCTGCATGAGCCTGCCCTGGGCGAGGATAGGTTTCACCCATGATTACTGACAACAGACAAGTGTTGAAATGAAGGAAGGTGTTTTTTCTTTCGAAGTTTGTGGGCAACTTTCTTGTTTCTATAGAAGCTATGTATCCTCTACCAGCAATTTGTCCCAGACTCTATGCCAAAACCATGTCAGCCTCCCTCTGAGGTCCTCCTGCTCTTTGTGCAAGCTGTTTCTTGCCATTTTCCTGTGTAATTTCTGGTTCCTCCCTCCAGTGCCTTCACTTATAAACTCAGTACATCTTCCTGTTCCTTTTATTTTTTCTTCCCAAGGATTGGAGATCCCAGTGCTGCAGTCAGTCCTTATCTGTTAGAATGTAAACCCTACCTGCTGCTTCTGCCAGAGGCAGTGAAATTCTCCCCTCTTATTCAAGTACAGAGATAATCGTAACAGCGATACAGAAGGTTAAACATAAATTTTCCCTTGACTGGTTTTCATGCTTCCGTTGAGTTAAATAAAACAGAATCAGAACCAAAAAAAACACATTTTTATAGATACATATACACTAACCCAAAAAGCAGCTTGCAGCAACTGTCGTCTCTGTATCCCACTTGGTGCTTCACAGTTTCTAGAGAAAATTGTTTTGAGATCCAGCAAATCTACCTGCTCAAAACAAGAGCTAGAGTTTCGAGGATCACAGGAGAGGAACAACGAATTTGAATCCCAAAGAAATCAAGCCATCAGCTGTCTTTGTTTTATTAACAGCAGCTGAGCTGGGAGGCATAATTAGGGTAATGGTTTCTGGCTCCAGCTGTGTCTCACTACAGAACAAAGAGAGCTCAGCAGAGATTTTGTAGCATAATACACTCTTCCCGCTTCTACTTGGGAGAATTAACAAAGATTACTTGATGCGCTGGAGGTCACAATTCAGCCACAAGCAAACATTGCCACTTTGCAGAGAATAGTGTGTCCAACACGTACGAGAAGTCGGGCAACCTACCAGCAGCGAGTGAAAACCATGCATGGCCCCAACCAAGGGGCAGCTGGATGCTCACATGTGCACAGGCTCTGTGAAGTTCCTCTGACCACCTTGTGCTTTCAAAGGACTCTAAGTAGGTGTTGAAGTTTTGCCCCATATCTTTTTCTTGTTCTGAGCTTCAGTTCCCCTGCGTGACTGACGAGTTCCTCTGGGAGAAGGAATGGGACTTGCAAAATGTGCTCTTTTTTGGATGAAAGGAGCTGTAGAAATGGAGGTTTTCTGATGTCCCACATGGAGAACTGCCGGTGGAATGTCTGCTGCTGGTGTGACCTACTGAGCTTGGAGAGGGATAAAAGTTAAAGCCTGACCTAACTGTGTTCTATCTAACAAGGACCAGCTGGGTCACAGAAAGGGGGGCTGGAGGGGAAATACGATGAAAATCATCTTGGCCTCACCAGGGAGAATGAGAGCATTGAGAGAGGGAGTATACAGGTCCTTGGGCCTGGGATTTGTGATGGAGGAGGTTTATGAGGGACTTTGGGTAGTTAATTTGGAAAGAAGAGGGGTTTTTTTGGTTTGGTTTGTGTTTTTTTTCAAGTCACCGTGGGTTTGGATGCTACAAAACCACTGGGCAAGTCGTGTAGACTCTTGTAGTTCTATTAAGGTATTGAATGGTTTTCTTAGAGCCCCCAGTGTGGGAGTCATGGAAAACAAAGGGATTTTACTTTAATACTTGAAAACTAAACTAAATTTCTGGCTCAAACTATGAAAAAGTAGACAAGAATGCCCAGAAAATCCTGCCTGAGAAGAAGGATAGGATTATAAGCTATGTTTCAGTGTGCTTGAAAATCTTAGTTTAAATTAATCTTAATTTATTAGATATTTTCAGTGTGCTTGAAAATCTTAATTTATTAATTCAGCTGTATGCGTTAAATTGTAAATTCATCCACACATTGAAAACAGGACAGCAAGAGAATACTGATAATTATGCTAATTTGTCATTAACAAAGTTTTTCTAATTGTGACACAAGCCAGGACATGCTTATTCTTTAAAAAGTACAGATGTATTTATCCAGGGAAAGAAGATGAAAGCTTCATGTGTAAATTGATACAAAGATCTCTTCTTTTCTATTTGTTTATGTGCTCTGATTTTTCATTCCAGGTGATCAGCTTTTTTAGCTCCCGATTAGAGCAAGCTGGAGCTGAACTGTCAGTGGAGCGGGTTCTGGAAATCATCAAGCAGGGAGCTGTTGCTTTGCCCAAAGACAGGCTAAGAGTAAGTGCTCGAGACCTCGTCAATTAAAGCGTACTGTTCAATCAATTACATACATACACTTTATATCAGTAATGTCAAAACATCATTTCTCCTATCAGTAGTGGCTGATAAGGGATTACTTTTTGGATTGCAATATGTATATGTTTTCATTTAAATTCCTAATTTGTACTGAATGTTTGGGTGAATTTTCTTGAATAGTTATTAAATTTAAATGTGGAGGAATTAAAATCAGCTAAGGGTAAGTTTTTCTTCATGATCTCTCTAAGGTGCACCTCTCTGTGTGTTATTAAGGTATAACCAGAGTCTTGTTCTCATTTTTTTGTTAGTACATTCTTCTTTCTCTAGAGTTCTGCATCTCCATTTAGGTCTACATAACATGTTACAAAGATAAATTTCTGTGGCTTTAGTCTCGGGTTAAGAATAAACCAACCCAGTGAAAATCAATTCAGGAACTGCAAGTCTGGTCAACATGGTTGTGAGCTTTCTATATAATCCTGAGCAGACCCCTCTGTTCTCTTCTGAGAATCTCAAATCTCACAAGGGATTTACCAACTTGACAGGTTTTGTGAGGCTAAAATCCATTAATGGCTGTGTGATGTTTAAATACTGCAATAATGAAATCTGTGTAAGTACGTACACAAATGGGAGCTCTGTGGTGTGTTTTTTTTTATATCCACAACAATTTTTGCTTCTCCACTGTGCCAAGTGTATTTTAAATACTTAATGCAGAACCATTTTTGTTCTTACTCCATGATAAGAGAGCAGGAGCTTCTTCTCAAGACCCATTTCTTTTGTAGTAACTTCAGGAAAATATCATCTGATAAGGCATACTGAGTACACACAGCTACTGGCGACGGCTGGTAATTTATTTATACCCTGGTAATTTTAAAACACCCAGTGGGAATTGTCTATCTGACTGCATATACTAATGTATTTCCTACAGTTCCCAGTGTCCCTGAGATGGCCCATGTAGCAAGTCAACCAGACTGAATTACTTCAGGAGAAATTGGTCTCTAGTCAGAGCTGTGAGCTGCAGTACAGGAATAGCCTAAATAGCAGCAAAGGAGTTGTTGGATCCAAATCCTTCAGGTTGTACCCTTGCTGCATGATGGTGCTGTGACTAGTCAGTAGCAATGTGTACAAAACCAGGCTACAGAGAAACACCGGACCCTTCGCATTTCCTTTCTGTGAGCTGCTTTTTTTGTGTGTGTGACAACATTCTTATGTGCAGGTAATTAAAAGCTCTTCTGTTACAAGACTACAGTGATTATTGACATAGAGCCATCGCTAAATAAGTTTGTTGCTTACAGAAATTGAAGGTTTTATCACTTACTTAGTGTGCCAGATTGACTTGCATGTTGGGCCACAATTTAAAGAAGTGTTGTTTCAGGAGTGAAATCCTGTCAAGCTTACGTTTTTGTGCATTAATGATAAAGTGTTCAAATTGACATGTTTATAGTGCCACTTAAGTCAACAAATGAAAATTTTTTGGCAACTACTAAACTCTGTAAGTCCTTACCAAGCAGTACAGGGCTTCCTATTTTAAGGATGGTTGTAGTGTGACTTAGAATGCTTACCTTTGCTTCAAAAGACTTTAGTTTGGGGCAGGCTTACCAACTGAATGGTTATGGGGTTATGAGGACACAATTCTTCTACACTGGCCACTTGCACCTACCGGTACCGGATTTTATCTCTTTTTTTTTTTTTTTCCCCAAAAAAATCCCTTTAATCCCTTTGCTAAGCAAGAGTTTGGTCATAGCAGGTTACTTTTCTGTGTGGAGAAAGCTGGTGACACTGACATTGGCATCAACAACTGCATGCATTAATTTGTAGATGCTCATAACTCCCTTTCTTCACAAAGACAGTAATGGTGAGTAGCACACAATTCCCTCCTACAGAAATCACGTTGTAAGTCTTCATACCATCTGCCCTTACATTTCTCTCATAAGGGTCTCACAAGTCTTGCTGTTTTTCAGGCTTTCCTCCTTTAGTCTCTGAGGTTTCCAGGGGAAGCTATTCTAGCGCTTGACAAAATCATATTAAGATCAGACTAAAGATACAGTTACACAATAACGTTGGCAACTCTGAGGAATTTCAGCAGCTAAATAAAGGAGAAAGCTTTAATCCTCATGTCTTTAATGACACTCTCTGGGCATGTCTGGATGGGTGGGAGCAGCCCTACCCACGTTTGCTCTGCCTGCACAATAGGCCCAGTGGCTGTTCACAACACTGAGCTCCCATCTGTGAGCTGGAAGCTGTATAGCTGCACAGGGCAACTAATACTGCCTGCTGAAAGGACATTTTTCGAGCACATACTAGCTTGGGCACAGCCAATTGACAGAAGTGGCTTCTGGAGAGGAGTTGGCTTGTGCCTGGACAGCTTGGACAATGTGTGGAGGAGTTATGGGTCAGTTGCATCTGGGTTGACACGACCTACATGTAATTACAACGTGAAAAGCTGTGGAGCTTAATCCTGAGAATTTTTGGATCAGCTTTTCAGCTAATTACTAATTAATTTTCCAGCCATCCTTGCTTTTACCATTATATACTCAAGTGCTCTAAAGTAGAGTAGCCCCTGCAGAGATGCTACATCTACCTCCTAGAAATTGCCATTTCAACTTCAACTCGTTGAGGGAGGTGGTTTAATAAACACAAGTTGAGATTTGGAAAAATGAGGAATGAAGCAGCACTTTTACTCACTTGCTCCTCTGCAGCTCAAACAATGGTCTTTTTCCTTATGTATGAGTACGTAATGTATGCACAGATAAATATAGCGAATGTTTTCAAGTTGCTTATCTTGGCCTTTGTTGAGGAAATGAGCATTCAAGAGGCGTTATATGTATTCAGATCTTGAGTCTTGCTTAGACCATAGTTCAAACATGAATAAAGGTAAACTAAAAATAACAGCACTTAGAGCCATGATCCTGATCTGCATAATGGAGCTTATCAGCTTTGTAGCACACCCTCGTACTCCTGCTCCCTTTCACTGTGGGAAGTAACGTGTGACGCAAAGCGAGCATGTGTGTTAGCAGTAGGGCATGTATGTAGGTATATGCGTAAGGAAAGATACCTTTTCCTGGCAAATAATGGTTGGGAAATGGAAGATCTAACTCATATTTTCCTTACAGTTCTGGAGCAACCCGACTGCCATTGAATACAAACAATATAATTAGCATTACTTTGAGCGTATGCTTTTAGCCATGTGCTGTGGAAGGCAGGGAAAGTCCAAGCTGAGTAATTAGCCTTTTAGAAGACTTGTGCATAAACAGAGAGATAAAGGGCAGGTGCTGAAATCAAGAGCTGGTTATTTCTCCTTCGGTCTGTGGGAGGAGATAAATGAAGTTAATATGCCCGTGACTGAGGCAGAAGCCATGGTTTAGAGATAGAGCTGTCTCCTTCGCAGACGAGCAGCCCACAATCCAGGCTCCCTGTTTTATTGCAGAAGCTTATTAAAGGCAATTTAGAGATCATAGTGATAGGTGAAAATTGGTCTCATTCTTTATTTTTATTTTTTAAAGTTCTCAGGCTGCCTTTCTTCCCTTTGGTGAACTATCTGCGCTTTCAGGAGTCGGAGAGTGAGAGAAGCAACACTGTGTCTGGAGCCTGCGAGTTATCTCAGGATTTTAAGGGGAGTTAGCCAGCTGATAACTGGTCTTCTACAATAAGTTGGAAAACTTGTTTCGAATGCCAGCTGTTGACTGGAAACTGACATTTGGGTTCATGGAATGATCACACTTGGGAGGCCATGGTTAAGGTTTTATAAAAGAAAACTTCCCATTAGCTAAGCCACTTAAAGCAGAGACTTCATTTTCATGAACATATTCTGAGCTGCCCTGCTCCTTTTCTCACTGTGTCAATTAGTATTTTTGTCATCAGTGTGCATTCTGTCATATATTCTTGATGTGTTATGCAGACATGCCATTATGCTATCAGCTTGCACCCTTTTGGTATGGTACAAAATTTAATATTTATTGAAGTGCATTCTAGTTTCACATTAAAATTTCACAGAACACGTGAAAGGAGCAGAGGTAAAAGCCTTCAATCTCTTGACAGAACAAGCTTTGCATTAGGTGTTAAAAGCACTTTTCATAGGTTTCCCCTTCTATTAGCCATGCACTTCCAGCTCCTTCCACTTCCATTTGTTTCATAGGAAAAAGCCCCTAATCATCAAGGCACCAGAGAGCAGGGGAAAGCAGTAAATTGTCATGGGATTGCCGGTAGGTACTGCCTGGCAGCCAGGCCAGCACAGCTTTGTATCCTTGGCATATCACCCAGCTCCTGGGGAAGCTGCGCCAACATCAAAAATTCTGCTACCAAAAATGTCATAAAAATAACATGGTTGTTGATGGAGGTGGCAGCAAATGTGTACATCTAGCTCCTGGCTGTGAATGTGTATGGCTCGTCTTCGCTGCAAAGCTGAGTTTTGTTCCTAACCCAGCTCCTGGCCACAGATAAAACCCTTTGCTTCAAATGCTGTTGTGCTTTTCCACTTGAATTGGCTGTCTAGAGCAAAGGGGCTTGGCCAGGACTCAGGCATTGCTCCTCAGCTGGTAGAGAAGCTGTGCCGCAATCTGGGCCCGCTCAGCTGCCGCTGGCTGTGCAGGGCCTTCCCACAAGCTGCCTCCCGTGCCAGGCATGAGCGAGCGTGGTGCTGAGCACACGAGGTATGCTCTGCACGGCCATGGCAGTGCTGCTGCTGGGACACATCTCTGCGGGGCCAACTGGTCAAGGGGGAGTGCAAAGTGCTTGCACCTATGGAAAGAAGGTGTACCTATAAAAGCAAGTGCGTACTGAACTTGCCAACACTGAGGGAGCCTAAACAGTCTCTGGTTTGGCTGCTGAGCTCTCTGGAAAGGTCAGGATGCAGTTAGGAGAGAGGAGATGTCATGTGCAGTCACTTGTATTGTCACACTGTGCAGAGTGGCAGGACGTGGGTAGCACTTGCAACAGTGCCCCACGTTACAAAGAAAATTGTGTTTGCGTGCTGCCTAATGTGAGAG